CACTGCTGTTTTAGCTGGCCAGGACCGGGTTTGAACCCACCACCCTTGGTATGTGGGGCTGGCACCCTACCTGCTGAGCCACAGTTACCACCCTGTGACAATCTTGACTGTTCTGAAAGGCTCGTGGGAACCCACTTCAGGACTATGAGGATCCATTTGTGGAAGTCTATACAGTACTCAATGACAGGTTGATGTTAAGAACTCAAGCAGAGGGTTTCCTGACTTTATTTATTTATTTATTTAATGGATACAGAGTCTCACTCTGTTGCCCAGTCTAGAGTGCTATGCCATCTGCCTACCTCATAGTAACTTCTAATTCCTGGGCTCAAATGATCCTCTTGCCTCACCCTCTTAAGTGGCTGTGACTATAGGTGTAGGCCACCACGCCTTGCTAATTTTTTTGTGGACAGGATCTCACTCTGTTGCTCAGGCTGGTCTCAAACTCCTGGCCTCAAGCAATTCTTTGGCCTCTACCTCCCAAAGTGCTGGGATCACAGGCAGGAGCCACCATGCCTGGCCCAGTTTCCTGACCTTCTGTGAGGTCCTCCTGGTGGAGATGATTGGTTCATATTGAAATATTTATGTTTAGTCTTCCATGGAAGTAATCATGTACATTTTGTACAGTCTTGGATCATTTTTTCCTATAAAATGAGATGACTATAACCACAATGCCCAAGTTCAAGTCCATCACTATCATTAGAGAGATCTACTTTTGGCCATCACAGACTGGCAAAAATAGGTCTTAACTATAATAATCCTCTTGAAACTCCAATGCCAATAAATACAGACTACCCACAGTGTACATAGCTGCTTTCACCTTGCAACCAGTGTCATGCCACCAAGCCTCAGAAATGCATTTTTGTATTTGCAAAGTACAGCTTTATCTCAGAGTAGTGTACTACATACTCTGTTCCCTGCACAACAGAAACGCAACCCATTTTCTTTCCTTGTATTAAAATAAGAGCTGGGAGGCTCACTTGATGTTTAAGGCCATTTTAAATCCCATAACATTTCAGACCTTGTTACTGATTTGGAAAACACTGGACATTGACCTGTAATATTTTTAAAACCCACATTCCCAAATGGTGTGGTAAACCTGTTCATTTTCAAGGGCTCCCGATGGACACTGCAAGCAACAACTATGAACGGGAAAATGGTAAGTTTGGGCTGCCAAGACTTGGACCTTCTCGGTTCCCTTCTCTTTCCCTTTCATGTCATTTTTCAGTGAGATGTTTTCCCCTCTTTTTAGGGAGCTATTGAAATTCAGCCGGATCAGATGCAGGTAGGAGAAAATACTTAAGTTGCTTTCAGAGATCAAAGCCGTCTTTAATCGGCATTAAAGATGAGACAACAGTAACATCTCACCTCTACTTCCTCGGCAGACCGTGAACCCCATCTTGATCGTTATCATGGTCCCCATCTTCGATGGTGTGCTGTATCCTCTGATTGCAAAGTGTGGTTTCAACTTCACGTAGGTGACTGGTCGGAGGGGTTGGTTGAGGGTCTCTGGGTCTCAGTGTAACCTCCTGCACTCCCTGCCCAGGGGCTCAGCGGAGGGACACCTGCTGCCCCTCCCACAGCAGCACCTAGGGGATGAGGTTTGGGAGATGAATTAAACACATGTGTGTGCACCGAGGTTTCTGAAAATATCCTTTAAATAAAGGGGCTATTAATGGAAGCCTGAAATATCTTCTGATTAAGGCTCACTTTGGTATAGATGATAGAAATGTTAACGGCAATCTGAACTTTAGCTTCTAGAAATTAAGAGAAACCTGCTACCTCTCTCTAACGAGGAGGTAGATCTGTTTATCCTCCTTAATCGTGAACAGCAGGCTCGGCGCCTGTGGCTCAAGCAGCTAAGGTGCCAGCCACATACACCTAAGGTGGCGGGTTCGAATCCCCAGCCCGGGCCTGCCAAACAACAGTGATGGCTGCAACCAAAAAATGGCTGGGCGTTGTGGCGGGTGCCTGTGGTCCCAGCTACTTGGGAGGCTGAGGCAGGAGACTCGCTTGAGCCCAGGAGTTGGAGGTTGCTGTGAGCGTGATGCCATGGCACTCTACTCAGGGGGATAGCTTGAGGCTCCATCTCAAAAAAAAACAAAAAAAATCATGAACAGCAGAGGAAGAGGCACCGCTGTGCTTCTGTGGGGAAGTTAGTTTTGTTGGGGGCTGGCAGGGGAGGTGTTTCCTTTGGGAGTTTAGCTCTTGGGTATAAGACTGGCTGGGGTCACGCTCTTCTCCTCCTGACCAGCTCCTTAAGGAGGATGACGGCTGGAATGTTCCTGGCTGCCATGGCCTTCGTGGTGGCTGCACTTGTCCAGGTGGAAATTGACGTGAGTTGCCCTCGGATTCTCCAGTGTCCTTTCCCAGGGTGGGGGGTGTTGGGTGGGACATTCAGAATCTTCCTTCTCCAGGAGTGAGAGAATTCAAGGAGACCAAGGTCTATCCCTATAATCTCACCCCCAGGGCCACAGATGGTGGGAAGCGAGGGGAGGGCTGCAGGTCTCACCCCTGCACGGATGCAGCTCGGGGACCTCTGTCTCCCATCTCCCTCACCCTCCTCCTCCTTTCCTCTCATTCTCTCCCTCCCTCTCTCTTTCAACTTCTTCTAAATATTTTGAGTTTTTAGTTGTTATAAACTACACATAAACTGTACTGTCTTCTTCCTTTTTAATTGCAGAATTCAGTGGTGTTATGTACATTCCCACAGTTGTGCAATCAATCTCTAGAGCTCTTTGCCTCTTTCAAAACTGAAACTGTATCCATGAAACAACAACTCCTCCTTCCCCCCCGTCCCTGGCAACCCCCATTTTCCTTTCTGTCTTTATGAATGATTACACACAGAGTGGAATCACAGAGTATTGTCCTTTCATGACTGGTTTACTTCATTAACATAACATTTTCAAAGTAGCATATGTCAGCATTTCCTTGCTTTCTCAAGGTGGAGTAGCAGTCC